CAGGCCACTCCACGCGCCACACGGCAACGCCTGGGGGGGGGAGGGCGTGGAGGAACGGTGCTCCATCCACTCTGCGTATCACGTGGCAGCCCCGCTGGGAACGGAAAAAAATTGCCACTCGATTCGTCCCGTGGCAACGCTGCGGGGGCCTACAATAGATACGACACTACTCCACCCTTCACGGAGCAACGCCTGTCGGCGCGATGAAAAAAAAGAGTCCGTTCTAGTCGTCATGTGGCAGCGCCGCGGGGGCCGAAAGAAACACTATGCCACGACGACGACGAGAACGACGACGATGACGAGGGCCAGGGAGGCGAACAAACACTCAATCATATCATCCTCCTCGTCCTTCTTCCTCCCCCCTCCCTCCTCCATCCTCCTCCCCCCGTTCCTCCCCCTTCCTCCCCCCTTCCCCCCCCCCTCCTCCGCCCTCCTCCCTCCTCACTCCTCCTCCTTCCTCCCCTCCGCTCTACCTTCCTTCCTTGCCCTCCCTCTTGTGTTCCTCCCCCTCGCCCGCAACTCACTGCACTGCGATGCACCGCACGTGCACTGCAGATGCAGCGCAGCGCGGCGGCATGCAACGCAACAGGACGCAACGCAACGCAACGCGACGCAATGCAGTTCATGTCAGCGCAGCACGGTGCGCCCGCCCGCACGCCTGCACGCCCGCTCGCCCGCCCGCCCGCTCGCCCCTCCGCGCGCGCCGCCCTTCCATTCCACTTCGTTCCACGCCACTCCATTCCGTCCACTTCTTTCCTCCCCTCCTCCTCCTCCTCCTCCTCCTCCTCCTCCTCCTCCTCCTCCTCCTCCTCCTCCTCCTCCTCCTCCTCCTCCTCCTCCTCTCCTCCTCCTCCTCCTCCTCCTCCTCCACTCCTCCTCCTCCTCCTCCCTCCTCCTCCTCCCTCTCCTCCCTCCTCCTCTCCTCCTCCCCCCTCCTCCTCCTCCTCCCCTCCTCCTCCTCCTCCTCCCTCCTCCTCCTCCTCCTCCTCCTCCTACTTCTTCCTTCCATTCCATTCCGTCCGTCTTTTCGGCCTACCGACGCCCCGAGATGGCCGAAGGGCCCCCGAAGATCACCCCAAGATCGCCCCAGAGGGCCTAGGATGGCCCCAAACGTCCCAAGAGGCCCCCGAGAGGGGCCCAAGAGGGCCCCACGACGGCCCAAGAAGCCTCTGAGACGCCGAAGATGGCCTCCAAGACGGCCCTGGAGCACCCCAAGACGGCCATGGAACACCCCCAGGGCAGCCCCATTCCCCCGCCCCGCGGCCATTACAAGCCAAACAAATTCAATATGGGCCCAGGGGTGTGGGAGATCCTCGATCAAGCGCACTGGGAAGGCTCGGTTGGCTGGCTCGCTGGCTCCCAGGTTGCAGGATGAGCCGACGTCCACTTTCCAATCCTGGCACGCTCTCACAAGGATCGCGCCTTGGGGGCCAGGAAGATATGTGTTGGCCGGGAAGAACAAATGTCCTTGACCCGTATTATGAAAGTTGCGTGACCGATCTCGCAACGTTAGTTATAACCAAAAAACAGCCACTAAATTAGCCTGGCGAAGGACCCAACCATATGCAGTTGTGAATACCGCGATTGTGGATCTCATCTTCGCTCGCGATCCCTATGGGGCCACGAACCGTGTGAGGGGGCGTGCCGAAATGCGTGGCGGGGTCCCCAATACGAACAAAGACGATCGCTCTGAGTGCGCGAGACTGAGACCGGGTGAGCCTGAGCGCGAGTAAGTCTGATTGTGAATGTGTCTGCGTGCGAATCAGTCTACGTGCATCAATGTCTACCAGAAGCTTGGGGCCACGAAACGTGTGAGGGGTGTGCCGAAATGGGGCGGCGCCGCCTATGGGGCCACGAAACGTGTGAGGGGTGTGCCGAAATTGGGTGTGGAACCGCATGCCAGCGCAGCCACTGGGGCGTTCGGTGGAGCTCCCTATGGGGCCACGAAACGTGTGAGGGCTGCCAGAATGAGGGGTGGAACCGCATGCGAGCGCAGCCACTGGGGCCTTCGGTGGAGCTCCCTATGGGGCCACGAAACGTGTGAGGGGTGTGCCAGAATTGGGGGTGGAACCGCATGCGAGCGCAGCCACTGGGGCCTTCGGTGGAGCTCCCTATGGGGCCACGAAACGTGTGAGGGGTGTGCCAGAATGGGGGGTGGAACCGCATGCGGGCGCAGCCACTGGGGCCTTCGGTGGAGCTCCCTATGGGGCCACGAAACGTGTGAGGGGTGTGCCAGAATGGGGGGTGGAACCGCATGCGGGCGCAGCCACTGGGGCCTTCGGTGGAGCTCCCTATGGGGCCACGAAACGTGTGAGGGGTGTGCCAGAATGGGGGGTGGAACCGCATGCGGGCGCAGCCACTGGGGCCTTCGGTGGAGCTCCCTATGGGGCCACGAAACCCTATGGGGGGTGGACGCCAGAACGGAACCGCATGCGAGCGCAGCCACTGGGGCCTTCGGTGGAGCTCCCTATGGAGCCACGAAACGTGTGAGGGGTGCCGAAATGGGGTGGTGGAACCGCATGCGAGCGCAGCCACTGGGGCGTTCGGTGGAGCTCCCTGTGGGGCCACGAAACGTGTGAGGGGTGTGCCGAAAAGAGGGGTGGAACCGCATGCGAGCGCAGACGCTGGGGCCTTCGGTGGAGCTCCCTATGGGGCCACGAAACGTGTGAGGGGTGTGCGAGAAATGGGGGGTGGAACCGCATGCGAGCGCAGCCACTGAGGCGTTCGGTGGAGCTCCCTATGGAGCCACGGAACGTGTGAGGGGTGTGCCGAAATGGGGGGTGGAACCGCATGCGAGCGCAGCCACTGGGGCGTTCAGTGGAGCTCCCTGTCGGGCCACGAAACGTGTGAGGGGTGTGCCGAAAAGGGGGGTGGAACCGCATGCGAGCGCAGCCACTGGGGCCTTCGGTGGAGCTCCCCATGGGGCCACGAAACGAGTGAGGGGTGTGCGAGAGTGGGGGGTGGAACCGCATGCGAGCGCAGCCACTGGGGCCTTCGGTGGAGCTCCCTATGGGGCCACGAAACGTATGAGGGGTGTGCCGAAATCCGGGGTGGAACCGCATGCGAGCGCAGCCATTGGGGCCTTCGGTGGAGCTCCCTGGGGGCCACGAAACGTGTGAGGGGTGTGCCGAAAAGGGGGGTGGAACCGCATGCGAGCGCAGCCATTGGGGCCTTCGGTGGAGCTCCCTTTGGGGCCACGAAACATGTGAGGGGTGTGCCGAAATGGGTGCAGGGGGCGCATGCTGATGATGATGATGATGATGATGATGATGATGATGATGATGATGATGATGATGATGATGATGATGATGGTGGTAATGGCGATGGTGATGATGCGGATGCTGATGATGATGATGATGATGTTGATGATGATGATAATGATGATGATGATGATTATGATGATGATTATGATGATGATGCTGATGACGATGATCATGATGAGGAGGAGGATGACAATGATGATGATGGTGGCGATAATGGCGATGATGATGGCGATGATGGTGATGATGACGATGATGACGATGATGACGACGACGATGATGACGATGACGATGACGACGATGATGGTGATGATGATGACGATGATGATGATGATGACGGGAGGAGGGAGGAGGGGGGAGGAGGAGGAGAGGAGAGGAGGACGCGGGGCACCGTCTCTTCAAAACGAGGACCCAACACCACAGGATGGTTGGGAAAGACAAGCAACATAACAAAAAAAAAAAAAAAAAAAAAAAACGATAAAAAAAAAAAAAAAAAAAAAAAAAAAAAAAAAAAAAAAAAAAAAAAAAAAAAAAAAAAAAAAAAAAAAAAAAAAAAAAAAAAAAAAAAAACGGCGGCTTCGGGGAGCTCCAAGCCGATGTTATACCGATTTGGGAGTCGACCCAGGGCGTTCACGAGTTTTATTTCCCGTGGGCATGGCAGTGACGCTTCTGCGCGGGCCACGCCAGGCCTGGCGGCTAGCTTCATGTAGTCGCCATGGCCAGCTGAACCGTGGCATACAGTCGGGGCCCTGAAGAAGGAACCCTTTTCGTTGGGGAGGGGCTCCGCGTTCCTTAAGTGTTTCACAGCTTGCCTCAGGTTTTCCTTTTGTTTTCGATAGGAAGTCGAAGCTTAACTTATGAAAAAAGGGGACTAGTTCCTTATTTTAGGGTTCCTTAGGTCAACGCCCCGACTGTATCATATCCGCTGGTGGTGGCAGGACTACTTGACACGTCTAGAAAGGATCGGCACCGAGGCTTGCTTGGAAGCACAGTTTGTCAGAAGCCACGGCGGAAATCTCCCCCCAGAGTTCGAGAAGGACGGCACGACACCGATCAGGCAGTCGCGTCGCGGATGTGTAGCATTCGGTCGTCCCAGCAGAAGTTTGACGGCGGTGCGCCGCATGGCAAACAGTGCCCGACCATCCGTTCCTCAAAGCGCACGAGGATCTAAACTCGAGATGTTAGACCCACGCATCATGCCAGGCCTGACTCCAGCCGCTAAATTTGGCAGCGTTCGAACGATTGTGATCATTAGAAGGTGCGCCTTTCGTTCAACATGTGTTCACAACAGTTGTTGGGAATGACGCCGACAAGCGCATGTTTCGAGCGAAGATGCACTGAACAAACTCAGCGCTCGGGCCCGTTTTGCAGAGCTTGAGCGAGACATCAATGGAAAATGAATGTGACATATGGCTCCGAGCCTTCTGTAGAACACTTCTGAGTCAGGAGATTGTGGATCTGAGCGGATGCTTTGGAAACGCATTGAAGGATCCACAGTGGATGGTCACTAATGAGCTTAGAATATTTTTACGTGATGTGGTTCGATCATTTGGGCACCACAGAGGGGTCTGACACAGCTCGTTGGTCTGAACATTGATTGACAGTTGCGCTCGGGCAGGCCTGCAGGAGTTGAGATGATATAGAGCAGAAAAGCTTGTTCCATGGACAATCCGAGAGAGCCAGAGGTTCGCTTGTGCGCTGGGCAGGTGAGGAAGGTATGTTGCAAAGTACGGCTTGCAGGGGCAACCGCAGTGAGGAGGTGTGGGCGCGCTTCTCAAAGCGAGTGATGAGGAACACGGGATTGGGGGATGGGTCGTTTTGTCTTCGTTGGGAGATGTCACTGGGGCATAAGCTCAAGCTTTGAAAAGTTTACCTGCGTCTTTCTGACACCTTTCCACTTCGTCGGCTCCCTGGCCCGACTCCCTTCGCGAAACCGCTGTGTAACTTCCCCACGCGAGCCGGAAAAAAGGCCGCCTCCCCCAACCCACCACCTTGGAGCGCATGGAAGCGGGTATGCAACAAGTACGTCCTGCATCGTCTTGCTTTCAGTCCCCGCTGCCACTTGCTCTCGCTCTCCCTCTCTCCCTCTCTCTCTTTACCTCTGGTCTGGCCTTCGAATGCGAAGCCCTGCTTGAAGCTCGTCCCTTCGGCCGAGGGTCCATCGACAAAGCAGTGGGAGAGGGTGGGCAGCGAGGATGGAGGAGGGGGAGGAGGACGAGGAGAATGCGGGAGGGGCTGTGAGAGAGGAAGGTGGAGTTGGGCGAGGTTCCCGTGCCGACGTGGATGGGTGATGTCTTTCGACATCTGGGCGTGCCCCATTCTGGGGCAAGGGATCAAATCAATACTCATCCCCCTGGGAACGTTTCTGCAGCCCCTTGCAGCCCTTGCAGCCTCGTCTCTTCACAACCTCACGGCGCGCAGAAAGACGATCGACGCTCCAGCGCCGCAGTGTGTTTTGAGGTTCTCGTCGAGCTCTGGTTCTGCGATGGTTGCTCTCCAAGAGCAGCCAGAAGTGCTGGAGTGGCGAAGGAGGGAACAGCAGCAAGAGCCGAATTCGCGCGCGACGTTGGCTGCGGTCCTCAAGGCGGGGGCGGGGAAGGATGGGGTGTGACCTGTGAGGCCCAGAGTTGGGCCGCTCTTTCGCCTTTCGCGCAGCCAGCAGTTTCGCTCTGCAGTCAGAAGGCAGGAGGGGCGCGAGGGGGACCGAAAGGAACCCTGCAGAGGCGCCATGAGGTGGGGATGGGAGGAGAATTCGGCAAACGGCCGCGGCAGTCGTCTTTTGCTCGCCCAGCTTTGCTCGGGGGTGGACAGAACCCCCAACAGTGACACGTCGATTCGTGAATTGTCCGTGCTCGGTTCTCGAGAGGGCGCCGCGGCCGTTATTCTCCAGGCCTGCGCCCGCCAGGTTTGGGCCTCGGGTCGTTTTCACTAAACCACGTTTTACTAAAGGGAGGTCTGTCCATCCCCGATTTGCGCCCTGCCCCCGCACAAGACCGAACGCCACCCTGGCCCCGCCCTCTCTGGAGCAGCACGATGACTGTGCTGGGCCCCGCTGCGGCCCCCAAAGGAGCTGCACACAGGTCAATGATGCTTTCGGCGCGAGGGCACAGGCACATTCGGCGGAGCATCGGTCATCGTACTCACTCCTCCTCCTCCTCCTCCTCCTCCTCCTCCTCCTCCTCCTCCTCCTCCTCCTCCTCCTCCTCCTCCTCCTCCTTGGACCTCGCACCAGCGTGCGAGGGCAATCCCGAGCCCCGCCCCAGCCTATCGCGGGCCCCCTCCAGCGATGCGCCTCGGAAATCCGCCGCGTCCGAGCTGCGACGGGGGAAAGCCGCGCAGGAGAGGGGCTCGGGCCAGTCCAGTGGTCACTGCCGACTCGAGGGCGCCGCGAGCATCTGGGGGCCTCCTCCTCCTCCTCCTCCTCCTCCTCCTCCTCCTCCTCCTCCCCCTCCTCCTCCTCCTCCTCCTCCTCCTCCTCCTCCTCCTCCTCCTCCTCCTGGCCGTGAGCCCGAGGCCGTCCCTGGGCCCGCGGGGACGAGCGAAGCGCGCGGAGCGCGGGACGCGAAGGGGCCAGCAGCCCGCCCGAGGGACTGGCGTTCTCGAGGGCGGGGAATTCTCAAGCGGCGCTCTGGGGCGTGGCGTTCCGCGCAGCCCTTCCCTCCTCACCTTCCCTCCTCCCCACCCTTCCATCGCTACACGTCAGCCGTGCGCTCGCCGAGCGCTTCCCCACGTCCTGGGGCCGCCACTTGCGAATCCTCCCTTCTCGGCCGTCGGCTGCTGGGCCGAGCACCACATCGCACCTGAAGCCAACGAGGCCGCCCGCGAGGAGCGAGGAGCGTGGACGGAGCCGAGCTTTTGTCACAAGCCAGCTCACCCCCAGTGGTCCGGGACCAGGGTGCCGACGCCGTCGGCCGACTCGGGAGCACGGCCCCCTTCCCGGCTGCCCTGGCCCTCACGGGTTGGACGAAGGGACCAGCGTCCTCAACAAGACAGCTCCAGAGTCTCGCGGGAGATGCCGTGGGGACCCGACGAGCGAGAGAGGGAGAGCGATGGGAGAGAGAGAGAGAGAGGACGAGAGGAAGCGAGCGCAAGAGAGAGAGAGGGAGGGAGAGAGGGAGGGAGGGAGGGAGGGAGGGAGAGAGAGAGAGAGCGAGAGGGAGGGAGGGAGACCGAGACAGAGAGAGAGAGAGAGAGCCAGGCGTCCGCCACATCCCGAAGCTGGCGGGCTGGCCCAACGTGTGGCCGGGGGCGCTGCGCAACGGCTGCCCTCTCGAGGGGCGGGCTCCGTCGCGAGGCCCCCTTTCGCCACGGCCCGCGCAGCCTGCCCACGGCCCTCCCTGCACCGAGCAGCGGCCGCGAGCCCGTGGGCTCCGGACCCCCCCCCCTCAAGTCCCCTCCGAGAGCCAGGAGGGAAGCAGCGGGTGGCGGTGCCCCGCGCACCCTCGGCATCCGCCCGGTTCCTGCGGGGAGGGCGAGCGGGCAGGAGCGCTCGGCCTGAGTCAAAGGGGGGGTCACGTGCACGGAGCGATCTGACCCCCGAGCCGCCCGCCCCGTCCCTGTTTTCCTTCGGCCGCGTCCTCTCCTCGCTCCTCCTCCTCTTGCACGGTGGCACGATCCGCTCTGACGGCATGCCTGCTTAAGCCTCTCGTCGCCAGCGCAGTCACTCTTTGCCTAGCCGCCGACGCAAAAGTTGAATCAAGGGAGGAAGAACCACCCGGATCCGATCATTGGCGTTTACTACACGGCCTTGGGCGTTTGTCAAACAGCTCTGCCCTGTTTGATTCCTTCTGTGGGTGCGTTTACGAAACGGCTTCGCGTGTCGGGTTGATTATCATGGGGTGTAGAAGCTTCTGTCCTCTATTGAAGCGCTTGTTGGGCACAGGACCAGCACCCTCATCAATGCGGGGGACGTGGCATTGATGTTCTTTGCGTTCGCGCGCATCAAATACAAGGACATCAAGGCACCCCGTTTGTAGCAGGGCCACTGCGTATGGCGGCGCATTGTAACCACTGTTTCATGCGCGCGATGTTTTGTCACAGTATGCTTTCATGTGCGACACTTGTGAAAGGGCAGTTCGGACAGTGATTTTCAAGTCTTAACAGCAATGTAGCTTCAACAACGAAGCGTCTTCCATGCAATGTCAAAAGGTCGGTGCGTTGATACTGCGTGGAAGGCACTGCGTAGAAAATGATGAGTCGAAAGCATTGCGTTGTGGGCATTGCGTTGCTGACCTTAAACACCACTGCGCAATTTGCCCTGAACAGAGGGAACTGCGTAGCCGACGCTAGATAGTTGGCTACGTAGTTGACGCGACATGAAGACGAAGGAAAATAGTTCTAACAAAATGAGGGTTGAGCTTTTGCGCGTGGTTTCCTGTGGCCCTGCAAACCCAGACGCATATGCGAGCAACAGTATTAGATGCGTCGCGTGTTTGGGCCGTTTCGGCCGCAGAATCTCTGCAAGCACAGCCGCATGATAAAACATTAACGAAAACGAGCCCCGTCATTTAAACGAACGAACGCTAGAAGCGCTGCTTTCCTTTTGAAATGTGTGAGCGCGCGGCCTTGAGTTGCTTGTTTTCTTTGGTGGCCAATTCACTTCGCGAAATATGTTTCCAGGTGTGTCGTCCCTCATGCACGGTCATGGTGATGAGCTTCGGAGAAAAAGCTCGAGCAAAAGCAAACCCTCTCAAACGACAACGCGCCCAAATCATTCGGGCGCGTCGAAGGCACTGCCAAGTGCATCCGACACGCTCCCAGCTTGTGTTGTGTGCGCAGGTTGAAATTGCTGGAGTGCGTGGCTTGATTGTACGGTTTCTGGTGGGTCATTCCTTGCGCGAGATGGATTGTCAGACCTCGGTGTTGTGGACAGTGCGTAGTGGGCATTGATTTGTTCATTGTGTTGTTGACGGTCCGTTCTTGACTCTGGGTTGTTGGCACCCCGTATCTCACCATGCGTAGTTGAACACGCGCAGTCTACATGTCGCAGTTGACATTGTGTTGCCGATGAGCCGTGGGCTGGGAGCAAAACCGTTAAGCCGATGATGCCGAGGTTGCAGACTTGGTTTTCAGTGGGTTGGAGCCCGAATGTGCGGAGGAGCCCTTAGCCCTTGGTATGGGCTTATGACTCATAGATGTTCTTGGGGATGTTCTCCAGCATGCGACCGATTTGGCCAGAGTCTGCCAGGACGGTAGTGTTGCCAACGCTGTCTCCAAGCCAGCTGACACATACCACGCCCGTTCGCGTGTTGCATTTGTTGTAAGGGCAGCCCCGCCTCGGTGACGTGTAGGATACATCTGGCTGGCCCTGCATTACGCACGGCGTAGGATGTGCGATGATAGGGTTAAGTTGGCCGCAGTGCAATATTCTTCGAAGGGAAGCTTCGTCGACTGGCGAACAGTACAGGCTTCGCTTGGCATTGCATGGGGGCGTGGGATATGGGCCGCTCTCGCAAGCCCACTTTGTGAGACATGGGGCTCAGCCCGAGCGTTACCGTGTTGTGGACCTTCGTGTCGTTGTTGGGCCCACCCCCCACCCCCTACCCCCTACCCTCCTAAAAAATGCAGTTGGCATGGTGTTGCTGGCAACATACGCGTGCAAAGGACCGCGTTGTCGGCACCGTGTTGTTGATGTTGCGTTGTGGACATTGGATTGTCGACATTGCGTTGCTGACAGCGTTGGAAAATACGTCGTTGTAAATTTGCAGCTGGCGTGGCGTAGTCGACAGTGTGCCGTCTTCACGGGGTAGACGCCACTGAATGTGTGAGTAGTTGGCACAGCTTTGTTGGCACGGTCATTATGATATTTGCGCAGTTGATCATGCACCGTCGACACGGCGTAGTCGACAGTTCGTAGTTCGCATTGCGATGTTGATTACACGCAGAAAAGACCACGATGTCGGTTCCATGTTGTTGACATTGCATTATTGGCGCGGTTTTGTTGGCCACACGTTGTTGACATTGCATACGTGGCATTGTGTAGCCGACGCAGCGTGGTCTACATGTTGTCGTCTTCACTGCGTAGTTCACACGGAGTTGTTGGCATCCCGTTATTGACACTATTTGAGGATGGTATTGCGGTGTTGGCATTGCGTAGTTGGCATTGTTTTGTTGGTTCTGCATTGTTGGCGCTGGGTTCTTGGCGTTGCGTAATTAAGATTGCGCGGCGACGTTGCGTTGTTGACGCTGCGATGTTGACACTGCGCGGTCGACGCGGAATAGTCGACACCCCGTGGTTGACACGTTGGCATGGCGAAGTTGACGCTGCGCTGTTGACACCGAGCTGTTGGCACTGCGTAGGAATCATTGCGATGTTGAAAGCAGTGCACTGTTAATCCCAACTCTCGCGTGTGCGCATCATGCGTCAGTGCACATAGCAACCCACACATAAAATGATCTGGCCAGGCATTGGACGCGCTGTCTCCTTTTATATTGCGGCACATCGAGGACTTCTCCACAACCGAGCTGGTGCTTCTCCTCAATGCTCACAAGAAGCTGGAGTACGAACGGCTCGACAGCGTTCGTTTACTGTTGGAGTCTATTTGCGCACGCTCGGGCGAGTGGACAGGCAGACATCTCGCACTGTCCGCAAACGCTGTAGCTTATTCAAGACACTACTCGTTTACCGCCTGCCCTGTTAGTTCGAGCAGGAAGTGCGGCAAAGTCGCGGTTTGCCAGCAGCGGTGCACCGACCCGACATCCTTGCCTTCCTCGTTCTCATTCGCCTTATCCTTGTCGTTAGTATATAGTGGCCTGCGGCTCATCCCAGCACCGTGTCGAGGTATAGTGGCCTGCGGCTCATCCCATCACCGTGTCGAGGTCGTGGACAAGAGGCCACTTTGATATTTATTGGGGAGCCTCTTGGAAGCCGTTTGGGTCATCTTGCGGGTCTCTTGGGGCTTATTGGGAGCGTGTTGGGTTTGTTTTTCTTGTGGTATCGAGGGCCACTTTGGGGCGGTGGTTTCCAACTGTCAGGTCGAAGTCTTGGTATTGGTGGCCTCGAGGTTCGTCTTGGACACCAGTCAGGCCGAAAAGCCGAGATTGCTGAAATCATACCAAAATGTATGGTTCAATAAGTGTCGTCTCTTGGGCTGGCCCCTAGAACCTCCGAAACAGCCCAAGAGACTCCCGAGAGGGCTTCAGCACAGACCCATGGGACCATTTTGGGGCATGTTGGACCACGCTCCCGGGGCTACTGGAAAAGTCACGCGGCTATCCCCAGCAGCGCTCAAGAATTCAAGGAATCTGGGGCCTGTGGCCTTCAGAGGGAGCGTCCATTGTTCAATGATGGGGACTCGAAGGGGGGTCTGAGGGCACTCCAACCAGTGCCCACGGCACAGCGGCGGAGTATCAGTCTGCTCCCTCTCTCTCTCTTGCCACCCTCCCCCCGCCTCCCTCACCGCACCCGCGCCCAGAATGGCCCGCCCCTCACGCGCCTGACCCTCCGCAGGGGGCCCGCAGGAGGCCCTGCCGGAGCGCTGCCACGCACGCACACACACACACACACACACACACACACACACACACACACACACACACACACACATTTTTGGGGGGTCTGCGGGTCGGGAGCGGGCCCCTTCCGGTCAAGAGCTAAGCGGGACGCGGGTAGCCTTAATTGGGGAGACAGGGCGCTGCCACGCACGCGCACACGCACACACACGCACACGGACTGGTCCCGGGTCCTCCTCGCCCCCCGCTGCCCCCGCACGCCCCGCCCCCCGGACGGGGCCAGTCCCAGGCAGGGCCTCGCCGGGGCGCGGCCGCGCACACTGGGCCGGGACCCCGCCAGGCCTTGCCCCCCCCCCACGAAAGGCAGCGGCTCGCTCCCCTTTGCGGGGGGCCCCAGCGCGGCAGCCCCGCGAGGGGCGGCCGCGAGCTGGACGGGCGAGCCTCCTCTCGGCGACGGCCAGGCCAAGGGCGCCCCGGCAGGGGGCGGCGCAGGGGGCTCTGAGCTGCCTCGGCCCGCCCCCCGCGCGCCCGGCAGGCCCGCCTGGAGGCCAGGCTGGGGGCCCGGCAGGCGCGGCCGCGTGCTGGACTGGGCGCTTCCTGAGCTCGCTCTGTCGCGCTTTTCTCACCCCCGGTTCCCCCCACACCACCACGGCATTCGGCAGCTGATCATGGGAGCCTTGCATGTGTGTCTTCGCATATATATTATATATATATATATATATATATATATAAATATATATATATATATATATGCCGTCCTTGGCATGCACTAGCGTGCGCTAGGCTCTTACAATCGATGAGAAAGCGCTGACGTAGCGTCGATTAGCGTCGATTTAGCGTCGACTAGCGTCGGCGAGTGTCGACGAGAGTCGGCCAGCGTCGATTCGCAAGAGCCAGCAAGATGGCATGGGAGGCTCCCATGAGTTGCCACCGAAATGTCCGGAAAGCCAACTGAAAGCCCGGGCAGGGGGCGCTCACGCACGGGTCTGGGACCAGTATGCGCCCATCCCCCTCGCGCGCCTCGCCCACAGAGGAAGTCGCAGCTGACGCCCCAGCGGAGCGCGAGCTTTTTCATCAGGCTCTCCGCGCCTCAGGCTTCGGGGCTTGTCCACAGATGACGAGCTTCGCCCCATAGGGAACGGCTGCGGCCACAAAGCGCGAAGCGTGAAGCGATGTCTGACATGACCACGCAGATGCAAGGACGGATGCGTGGGTGGCCCGAGGTCGGCGGGGCGGAAGAGAGGAGGTGGAGGAGGTGGCGGAGGAGGAGGGGGAGGAAGAGGATGAGATGGAGGAGGAGGAGGAGGAGGAGGATGGGTGGGCACGAGCGGACGGATCGTGTCCCCTCTCGGCCTGTGGGACGCACCGCGCCCATCCCACGGGGAGACCCAGCAGCGGCCCCAGCGTGGCGCGCCCAGATACTGTCCAGGGGCTGTCCCAGTGCAGCCCCTCGCGCGGTTCACTCCCCCCCGCAGGAACTCTCCTGCCTTCCGCACGTGCCCTTTCCGGAATGTCTTACGTTCGCTTGTCGCGCGTGCTGTCTTCTTGGCGCTGCGACTTAGGCTCCAGTTGACGGCGTGACGACCCGCTCCCACGAGCCTGACGGTTCTGGCATTAGGACTAACGTTGACGCGTGCAGATCGCCGCAATTTCGAGGGGACAGGCGACCGGGTGTCACATCATGAGTCATCAGAAGCAGCCAGTCGGTACGCATGACGTGTTGCCCGCAATGGATGCACCGTTAGCCAAGCCAGGATCACAGCTTCCGAAACAATTGAGCGGCCCTAAGCGCCTAGGGGGATGGAGCCTGGAGCCGATCCAGGCCTCACAGGGACAATTTGGGTACCATCTCAGTCCATGTCTAAGCATGTTGGAGCGTTGTGGCGGTGCTGACCAAGTTCCGAACGTTTGAGACGATGGTGCTGCTATCCTCGTCCTTTCCTCTCGTCACCCCTCCCCGCTTTCCCGATCTCTTTTTCCCCCTTCTCTGACGTTCCTCTCCTCCATCCCCCGTTCCCCGCTCCTCCCTCTCCTCGCTTGCCGCACGGCGAAGCAACCCCAAAATGAGGGTCTTAAGACGCCCCACCCCCAGGCACCCCGAAAGGCCAACACGGAATGCCACCCAGAGATCTTAGACGAAGGAGGAGAAGGTGGAGGGCAGCCGAAAAAGCGGCGACCACCCGCGGAGTTTTGATCTCCCAGGGCACGTTCGCGCGCGGTTCCATGTGTGCGCTTCTAGACACGAGCTTGCAGCAGCCCAGCGCGAATCCGGCGCGCCGTGGGCCCCGTTGTGGCCGATGGATTTTTACATCTACCAGCACAAGTTCTGGCGCTTGGTCGACAAGGTTGGGCGGTGCGCCTGAATAGGAGGTAGGCTAAGACTGACCACGGAGAACCCAGACCCTTCAGCGCTGCGGAAAGAAACACGACAAAGGGTTTCTCCCCATTTTCGGCCTCCTGGGCCCGACACGGGCCCAGGAGGCCGTCCGAGAAACGACTCGGGATGAGAAGCTGGTCCCAGGGGAGGCGTCCACCCAGGCGCGTCTTGTCCTACCAAGGCGTGCCACACGCTGCTGTGGACGATGAACCCGCTGGAGCTCTCCAATTTGGTTAGCGCGTTGGCGCGCATTGACCGGCGGGAGCCGCTGACCCTCAGGAGAATCGCCAGGATGTGTCGGCGGTGTGCCTCGCGCAACCTCTTCAGCCAGGAGACGCTGGCTACCAGGCCCTTGGGATCCTGCATTCGGGCCGTGGGGCTTTGTCTCCCTCCCCTACTTGGGCGCAGTTGCTGCACGTTGAGTAAACTCTGTCTCCGTCGCGGCGCGGCAGAGGCAATCCGCTCGCGCGTGTAGCAAGACCAGGCTGCAGAGAGAAGAGGAGGGAAGAGAGGGCGGCCGCGGAGGAGGGGAACGGGACGCGGGGGCCCTCTCACGCGGCGAGCCGCGGGAGCGCGCGGGGGCGGCCAGGCTGAAGTGCAGCCTTTGGCAGCGCATGTTGAGTAAACACATCCGATTCTGTGTCGCGATCTTGTCGTGTGGACGGCAGGCTGCGCCATGCCGGACACACCTTCGTAGGCCATGTGGTAAGTACGGCCCGCATTGTAGCACAGTGTTCCGAGACACGATGATTCAGGCTTGCGCTTCAGAGCAGCGCTTCGTGTTTCAGAAAGTCAGGGGTGAAGGGGCAGACGGATGGCGCCGTCCATGTCTCAGCCACTCTACAGACAAGACGGATATTGTTGTTTGGGGAGTAGCGAATTCGACCCATTCCGCTTCCTCCCCCGACCCACTGCGAAAAGACATCAAGGAAAATTGGGCGATCGGCTCGATCGCACATGTCTGCCCCGTCACCACCTCGCGTGCGTCAAGCATGCAAAAGCTTACGGGGCTCTTCTCAGTATGAATGCGTTCGCAAAGCTCGACTTCAACCACCCGAAGTTGGCGAAGGTCTTCGAGGACAGGCAATCACGTAAGTAGGGAGACCCATTTCCCCCCCTTCTGGTCCTACTCGTTCTCCACATCCGCGCTCCATGCTAGCTCGTTCCGCCCTCCCTCCCATATCCTCATTGTTTCACCTCCTTGTCCTTATTCCCCAGGATTGTTTCCTATTTTGTAGACCTTCGTTCGCCGATATGGGTCCGTCCTCCTACCACTCCCCCACTAACTCGTCATCAGAATCATCACCCTGGTTCTCCCTCTTTGATGCGACTTTCCCTCCTTGCTGCCGCGCTCAAGAGGTATCGGCACCTGTAAAGCGTTGTGTGTGTGCAGCGACCCCACTTGCGGAAGCGGTTGAAAGCGGCACTTCCAGCGAGAAATTACAGCATGGTGTCCCCAACCGGTTGATTGTCGGGGGGAAGAAACGAGAACGTGCATCCAACATTTAGTCGAGCATTGGCATCGGATGTTGCCACCGCCAAAAGATATCGAACGCATTGGTTCCTGCCTTGAGCCCATTGCGTCCAGTCTCAAGCTCGCCTCACGCCAATAAACGACTTCGCGTGCATTGGTCGACCTTATCGCACAAAGGGATTTAATTAGCGGCCAAGCCTACTGGCAACGCCTGGCAGCCTCTCGCACTCCTCATCCTCCTCCTCCTCCTCCCCCTCCTCCTCCTCCCTTCTACTCCTCCTCCCCCTCCTTCTCCTCCTCCGCCTCCTCCTCCTGATCCTCCTCCTCCTCCCTCCTCCTCGTCCTCCCTCGTCCCCCTCCTCCTCCTCATCATCCTCCTCCCCCTCTTCCTTCTCCTCCTCCTCCTCCTCCTCCTCCTCCTCCTCCTCCTCCTCCTCCTGCTCCTCATCCTCCTCCTCATTGTTTCCTCCTCCTGCTCCTGCTCCTGCTTATCCTTCTCCTCCTCCTCTTCCTCCTCCTCCTCCTCCTTCTCCTCCCTCCTCCTCCTCCTCCTCCTCTCCCCTCACATCACCATCACCTCACATCAGCACATCATCGCATCATCATCATCATCAGCATCATCAGTCATCCTCATCACATCATCATCATCAGCATCATCATCATCATTATCATTATCCTTCTCCTCCTCCTCCCCTTCTCCTCCTCTTCCCCCCTCCTCCTCTTCTCCTCCTCATCCGTCTCCTCCTCATACTCCTTATCCTCCCCCCCCCCTCCTCCCCCTCCTCCTCCTCCGCCTCTCATGCGCCGCCTCCTTTCCCTTCTCATCCTCCTCCTCCTCCGCATCCTCCTCCTCGTCCTCCTCCTCCTCCTCTTCCTCCTCCTCCTCGTCCTCCCCCTTACTCCCTCGTCCTCCTCCTCCGTCCTCCTCTCCTCTCCCTCCTCTCCTCCTCCTCCTCCTCCTCCCCCTCCTCTCCTCCTCCTCTTCCTCCTCATCCTCCTCATCATCCTCCGCCTCCTCCTCTCGTCCCTCCTCCTCCTCCTCCTCCTCCTCATCCTCCTCCTCCTCCTCTCCTCCTCCTCCTCCTCCTTCCTGCTCCTCCTCCTCCTCTCTCCTCCTCCGTCATCATCATCAGCTCATCATCATCATCCATCACATCATCATCATCATCATCATCATCATCATCATCATCATCACATCATCAGCAGCATCATCATCATCATTATCATCATCATCATCATCATCATCATCAGCAGCATCATCATCATCATCCGCCCTCCTCCTCCTCTCGTCCTCTCTTCTCCTCCTCCTCCTCCTCCTCTCCACTCCTCTCCGCCTCTTCCTCCGGCTCCTCCTCATTATCCTCTTCATCATCTTCCTCCTCGTCCTTTCTTCACCTCCTCCTCCTCCTCCTCCTCCTCCTCCTCCTCCTCCTCCTCCTCCTCCTCCTCCTTCTCCTCCTCCTTCTCCTCCTCCTCCTCCTCCCCCTCATCTTCCTCTTCTCTCCGCGCTGATCCCGTCGCCGTGGCCGATCGTGCCGTGCCCCACCCCTCGCCGAGCAGCAGCATCGGACGCTGTTATTGCCCATTCTTCTCGCACGCGCCCCTCGCAGCAACATCACTCCCGAGGCTGGGGGGCCCGAGGGGTCCAAATCAAAGAAGAAAAAACGCCATAAACATAAACGTGTGGCGCTCTGCGCAGATTTCTTGGATCTGCGCTGGGCCCCCCCTGGCGGCGCCTCCACACTCTCGCGCGGAGCGAGCCAGTGCAGATCCAAGAAATCCGCGCGGAGCACCAGAAGTTTATGTTTATGTCGTAGTTTCTTCTTCTACCAAAGGGTGCCAGAGAAGAGGGAGGGGGTTGTGTGTGCCGACCCGCTGCGTTGAACTCCCTTCTTAGCCCTCGGGAGATGTGCTAAACGCAGGGGGCGGGCTCCAACCCCCTCTGCCTTATCACCCCCGTTGGAACCCTCGCGCCCGAAGCTACTTCCCGAGCGCTCCCCATGGCGCGTCCAAAGCTGCCTCCCGAGCGCTCCCCTGGTGCGCCCGAAGCTGCCTCCCGAGCGCTCCCCTGGCGCGCCCGAAGCTGCCTCCCAAGCGCTTCCCGAATTAAGGACCTGGCCTCGGCGTCAGCGGTGGCAGTGGCGCTGGCCCCTCGGCAGCGGCGCGGGCGCGGCGCCGCGCGGCAACCGTCGACCAGACGTTCGAGTGGCCTTTCGCCAGAGTGGACGCTGGTGCGGGCCCAGTGGGCCCCCCTATCGCTGAGCGCGAGGTGGAAGCGACGGCTTGCGCGCACGGGTTTGGCCACCCCGCGTTCCCCCGCTCAAGTCACGCACCATAGGTCACTCTTGCCTGGGGTCGTTCTTGCGTGCAGCCGAAGCCACACCGCCGCATGCTGCGCGCAGGTGGCAGCCGCGCGGCCGCGGCGCCGCGCCCCTCACGGCCCTGCCGCGGCAGCCGAAGCCCTGCGGCGGCTACAACTGGTGTGGTTACGCCAGCGCCGTTGGGGCTTGTGGGGTCACCACGTGGCGCCCAAGGTTTGATGAGCCCTCGTCGAGGCGCAGCAGGTGTCTCTGTCGAGGTCCTCGCCCGCAACCCCACCAGGTGCGGGTTGCGAACTACACCACTTGCAAAACGCACCTTTCAGAGTCGCCAAGCTGATGGAGATGCTGCGCTGCGGGGTGATGTTGCCTGTCGCGGAGGAGGGCCAGTGGAGGCAACGGCAGCTCTCCATGGCGCGTTTCCTCCTGCTTACGCCCCTCGTCGCCACTGCTCCTGCTTAGGCCCCTCGCCGCCACTGTTGGACCCGCCTCGACAATCGGGTCAGAATGAACCCTGGGAAGGGTCCCGAGACCGATTTTGAACGGATTTGGGCATGGCGGGAGAGCCGCCGTTGCCCCAGCTGGCCCTTCTCCGACTACCGAGCTGGTGGTGCCCGTCGCGGGTAAGTGCCGGTGCCCGTCGTGCTGCTGCTTGTCGTGTGCGGGGGGGGCCCCATGGAGGACAAAGGATAGCGGTTTCTCGGCGTCGTGGTGCGATGTCGCGCGGGATCCCGTCGCGCTGCAAGCTGATGTACACTGGGCCGCCCTGCCACCGGGCGAGGTAGAGGCGCTGCGCCCCGCGACGTGCTGCCGCGGGCCCCTGTCGTCTGGCCCCACCGTCCTGCGCAGGGTCGCCCTGCGCGGTGCCTCACTCCGCAGGACCCACCAGCAGCCCTCGAAAGTGGCGACAGTTTCGCAGATCGCAGCCCACCAGGCACGGCGAGGTCTTGCTCAGATCAGCGCGGTGCCTCACTCCGCTGGACCCACCAGCAGCTCTCGAAAGTGGCGACAGTTTCGCAGATCGCGGACAACGCGCTCTTGGCCTCTCAAAAAATCATGCGGGCACCCCTGGGACCGCCCAGGAGCGCCCGAGAGCGCCCAGAGCTGGCTGGGGGTCCCTTAAAAAGATTCACAGGAAACTCGAAGGGACCTGAGGACATTCTAACTCGTGCCTGAAGGGCACGGAAGCGGCATCAGGGCCTCATTTCGTTTCTGCTCCATTCCTTCTCCTCCTCCCTGTCGCACCCCGAGACCAGTTTTTAGGGCGGGCCAGTCTTTTCGCCTGAGATTTCCTCACCATTTATGATTCTGAAGCTTCAAAAGTGACAACAGCTTCACGGATTGAGGGCGGGTGGTTTTCAGAATGTGGCTCTCGCCTTAGCGCCGCACACATTCGTTTTTGAAATGTGCACTAGCTTCACGGATTGAGTGCGGGTGGTTTTCAAAATGTGGTTCTCGCCTTAACGTCGCATACATTCGTTTCTTGAATTTGCAAGAGTTTCACGGGTTGAGGGCGCGTCGTTTTCAAAATGTGGTTCTCGCTCTAACGCCGCGCAGGTTCTTTTTTTCACAAGTTGCAATAGTTTCACGGATTGAGGGCGGGTCGTTTTCAAAATGTGCCTCTCGCCTTAACGCCGCGCACATTCGTTTTTTGAATTTGCAAGAGTTTCACGGATTGATGGCGGGTCGTTTTCAAAATGTGATTCTCGCCTTAGCGCCGCGCAGATTCGTTTTTTCACAAGTTGCAATAGTTTCACGGATTGAGGGCGGGTCGTTTTCAAAATGTGCCTCGCTTTAACACCGCGCAGATTCGTTTTTTCAAAATTTGCAAGAGTTTCACGGATTGAGGGCGGGTCGTTTTCAAAATGTGTCTCTCGCCTTAACGCCGCGCACATTCGTTTTTTTGGATTTGCAACAGCTTCACGGATTGAGGGCGGGTCGCTTTCAAAAAAAACAAGAGCTTCACGGATTGAGGGCGGCTCCGTTTCAAAATGTGGTTCTCGCCTTAGCGCCGCGCACATTCGTTGTGTAAATTTGCCAGTGTTTCACGGATTCCCATGATCAACGTAGCAGAAATTGCGTTTGGGAAGGATTCAAGATTATGCGGGCGCAACAGCTATGTTGATTCGCTGTGTTGAAGTCCCAACAGCGGCTTTCTGGCACGATTCTGGTTCGTAAAGACGCAGCAGTCAGGTTGGTACGTGGCGTTGAATTCTTGAGATCAATGTTTTGACACGCTGCAGGATCTTCAAAGTGTTGTCTTCCAACGAGGCAGTTCCCTGAATAGAAATTAACCGTTGTGTAGGGGCCTACGAAGAGGGAGCTTGGAGGGAGCGTGAATTCCAACATCGTTGATGACTCTTGGATTTCCACTGGTCCTCCTCCTCCTCCTTCTCGTCCTCCTCTTCCTTCCCCTCTTCCTCCTCCTCCTCCTCCTCCTCCTCCTCTCCTCCTCCTCCTCCTACTCATCCTCGCATTCCACCTGGGCGGTTAAGAAGCCGACTGCGCCTCGAGGAGGCCATCCGCCAAGAATGTATAGCGGGCATGTACGTTCCTTTCCTTGGGGGAGGTCACGTCATGGCGCCAAGGTGAGAGAAAAGAGAGATTCGGAATGAGCTTCTGATTTCTAGCAGACGCCACAAGAAAGCTGCAGGTCTGGCTTGGATTCATCTCAAAGGTTTCGGTGCGGCATGGCGCTGCCCGACCTGGACCATGGAGTTCTCGTGAAAAACGTTGAAGATGTGGGGTGCAGTGTCCTACCCTGAGGGGGTATATGACAGCCTTTTGCCTGCAGCAGCAGCGGCCTTGGAGGACGCCGCGGTTGTCAAGCTTGACTGCGCATTGTCCTTGGGCCCCGACTACCGCAAGTCCAGCTTGCGCGACATGGACGTATTTGACGTGCAGGCGGGCAGGTACTAGTAAAAGGGAGACAGTACGGTGACAAAAACCAAGCGAGACCTTCCGACGACGACGATGACG